TGAGGAGTCCCTAACTCCTTCAAGTTTCTGATCCCATTTTTCACCTGTAGGAAGTGTTTTGTTCAGTCAATGCTAGTAATCAAAAGAAAAGAAACCCTTCCCTTTCTTCTCCTCCATCCCAAATATCTGTTATTATATCTGTTGCTGACTTGAGCAATGTATCTGAATGCTCCCAGTGGACATGGGGGTCAGTGAGTTCACACTAGGGAGTAGTAGGCTCTATATGAAAAACTGTGGCTATAGTAATGACCTGCTGTTCTGGGTTAGTCACCATTAAGTCAACCTGAAAACACAAGGGACACCACATAAATCCTTTGGGGCAAGGAGTTTTGCTCTGTTTCACATCACCCTAGTGCAGGACTATTGCTTGTAGATGTTTTTGCAGAGTATACAATGCCAATTGGACAAAAATCTGCATTTAAGGAGTAGTTCTGTGAAAATCTTGAGCAAAGGGTTGAATTTATCTTTCCTAAAGATTATGAAGTAGACCTCCAACTGGACTCACCTCTTGTAAAATGTGGGAACAGATAGTGTATTTAGATTATTGCAGAGTTGAAGCACGTGCTGCTAATTGAGATGCAAAGAAGGAATAAACAATGACTTAATGCCATTCGTGTTCCACAGAGAGCCATAAATATGGGGAGGAAGTTGCTGAGTAAGGCACTAATGCAGCAAATGGTAGAAATTAATCAAGAGGTAGTGCCACTTTCATAGGGCGAAAAGGATTCAGGAACAGCCTGACCGAGCAAAGAGATGGGGCTGAGATCAATTGAATGGGAACAGCCTTCTTGGGATTAAGTGGCCATTCCCAGTGCAGCCAAATGCTACTAGTGAACCTATATAAGAGGAGTCATTTTTTATATGGAGGGGATGAACAGTGTGAAGAATCTTATGTAGTCTTTGATTTAACAAAGCTGCAACTAGATACCAAACAGGGATGCCAGTAGGCAGGTGCTTTGGAGACACGTGAAAGTGAGAGAAATCAAGCTAAAACCATTCCAGCCCATGTTAAGATTGCAAACAGTATGCAGAAATGAAGTGGGAAGCAAAGGTGACTTCAAAAACTATATGTGGACCTCTTCTTTTCTGGATCTGACCACTGGGGCCGGGTAAAAAAGTCTCTGCAAAAGATTTTGAGCTTTCATGAAATTTCTCATCTGAATCAGGATGAAAAGTAAACATCAGAAAGTGATGAGGGTACTAACAAGCTTCACTGCGTAGACCAGACAAAACACTGTTTTTTAAATTGTGATTCATTTCAACCTTCATCTTTTTATTTTGCCAACCTTTTCAGTATGAATTAACCAAAATTGGGAAAATAACTTGCAGATTTTTCCGTATAGAAACTGTCAAAACTGAGTATGTTAGACATTTTCAAAATTGACTTAAAAGCATTTTAAATTGAGGGGTTTGGTGCCTTGGGGTTTTTTTAATTAGACTCTTGTAATGCATGATATCATTTTTGACAACTTTTCATTTTCTGACCATACCCCAGGACTGTTTAACTGCAGAATTTCCCAGCTATCGCTGCTGGCTGTTGCATTGCAACACGCTGTGCCAACAGCCCGGGTTCAACAGCACGCAGGGCGCTCACTCAATACCCACCTGACCTGGCCGTGCCCTCTGAAATACGTGCCAGCTGGGTATCTCTTTATGCCAGGGCTATTTTTGGTGGGCAGTGCTGCCAAGGCAGCATGAAAAGGGCTTTGTTGGAAGGGACACGTGAGCCTGGTTCTTCATTGTCAAACACCTGTATAGATATTTCCACCATAAAACATGGGTGTAAAATAATGCAGTTTGCACTTGCCTCCTTAAGGTAAATGGCAACTAAATCAGTGTCTTCAATTTCTTTTTTTTCTGTCCCAGGGAGATAAAGGCATGACTACTGTTTTATTCCTGTTTTGGTCATTGGTACCCGTGCCAAATAAGTTGGAATATTTCATTTGCTTCACTGGTAGTATTTTTCTCTCCTGTTTCCTAGGTTTGATTGCCTTTACAAGGTGCACGGGGGGCAGTGAAGAATCAAGCCCTGTGTCACACAGCCTGTCAGATTCTCCTTGTCTTTCCACTCACTGATGAAGGTGTACCAAAGCCAGCCAGAGCTGGCTGCATCAGCGATATGCAATCTCACAGCCCAGCCAAGTACAAATAACCCATTTGTGTCGCTCTTGAGAGGTTTCTGAGGATTATTCTCTGTATCCTGAAAAGAAGTGAAACCTAATGAGCTGGGAAAGCGTGTGGTGTGGGGGAAGCAGGTCCCTGCCAGGTGGAGGTGGCTGCAGCCAGGCCCTGGGGGGTTTGGAGAAATCTGTGAGAGGCAGCTTCCCTTGCTAAATCCTGCCAAGGAGAAGGACTTCTGAGCAGAGTGACATTCCACCAGTGTTTGGCTGCCACCGCGTTTCATTTTGCTATGTTTTTTCCACCTGTTTTAAAACTGCAACATCATATCCGACATAACTTTAGCCTGTTTGAAATGCAAACCTGAAAATGGGAAGGGGACCCCTGCCATGGTGGAGTGTAGCCCTGCTGCAAAGCACTGTGTGTTGGCATGATGCTTGCTTTTCCCTGATGGTACCCTCCGGGCTCAGGAAGGAGGAAAGAATAGATGGGACCACGGAAACAGGAGAGGGATAATGTGTAAGATCTTCAGGTTCCCCAGCAGCGTTTGGGGTATACGCTGCGTCACTCCTGACCTAGCAAGCATCAGTGCCTTCAGTAGGGAGGTCGTGGGGAACACACGAACCCTGATCACACCGCCAGGCTCTGTAGCATCATTTGCACAGTTGGACATCTCTGTGCCTTCCCTTCCCAGGGGACCCCACAGATTTGCACATATAAAGGAGAGTTACTTATCCCCGTGTCTCAGAAGGGTGGATTTTGTTGTGAGGGAGACACGAGAGCAAAAACATAAGCTGGTGATAACAGAACCACAGGAGCTGGAGATAAAAGGCTGCCCCAAGGCAGAATCATTGGCGTAACTGCATGGACTCATTCCTGACAGGCATTCACTCTTGCCTGTAGTTAAAAATCACAACTTATGAAGACTGAAGTTTTCCCAAATGATCTGTGCCATATCTCCACTGTTCCTTACTATCACAGAGGCTGTAACAAATGTCCAGCCTCAATTGTCCTTGCTACAATTTAAGCTCATTGCTCGTCATATCCACCAAGGAAATCTGGACAGGGCAGTTCTCTCCTATTCTCTTTTTATCAGCTTCTTTCTGTTTCTGAAGAGTGTTGCCGTGCTTCTCTTCAGTCTCTTCTCCCTCAGACTAAATGCCGGTTTATTCAATCTTACATCATAAATCATGTTTTTACAAAGTGGGCCATATTTTTTACTTCATTTTTCCTATTTCTCCTTCGTCTCTTTTTCCTTATCTTCTCTCTACATGATACATTATCTGTCTCCAACCCTTTACCACAATCTGATTCTATCCCTAATTATTTTCTCCTCTATCAATTTAATGACTTTGTAACAGGGCTTGTTTTGGAATTTGGGTTTCTTCTTATTCTGCTCTGCCTTCCTGCTTTTGCAAAGGATCATCTTAAAGTATTGAAACATTGGCTGTCTCCCTGGGTAGAGGAGAAGCGTGGACTGAGCGCCGCTTTACCAGTCAGGAGCTCCTAAGCTGTAGCTCTGGCTGTACTGTCTTCAGTACAGCCCCAGGCAAGGCAGCCAACCTTGCCCTCGCTATGAGCTTCTTGAGGGCCTGCATGATTTTTAAAATTACAGTAGTGTATTGCAAGAAACAGAAAAAAACCCCAGCACTAGTCTGAAAATTTGAGCTAGTTTTGGATAAGTGTCCAGGTCTCCTAAGCAGCTCACATTTTTCTGGTCACAGGCAGTCTTTAACATCACCTTAAAGAACCACTCCAGAAATGGAAAGTTTATGTATAATTAGTGCTCACAGGCTGCAGGGCTGTCATAAGGCTGAGGGATATACAGACAAAAAAGATTAGGTGGTGTTATGTGTCTCACATCCACAAGCCAGTACTGTCAGTCTTAATATTGAAGAGTCCTTCCAAGCTGAGGGCTGTCTTAGGCTGTTGTTTTTTGTTTGCGGCCTTTTTAATGTCTTCATGCAAAAACCAGCTCATGGGCCTATTGCCCAGTATTGGGCCTAAACACATGCAATGTCTTCTGAACCTGTGTGTTAGATTCTCCAGCCACGGCTACACACAGTTGAAAGGCAAAGTTAATGATTTTAAGTTAATCTAGGGATCTTTATTTATGTAACTGATGGCAAGATAATGAATTCTTATGAAAAATTTCCTTTTGTTCATTAAAAAAATACTGTGTAAGAAAACCCTGGGTCTGGATATCGTTCTGTTCAGCGCAAAGGACTGCATTCCTGGGTAATTCTGCTCTCTGGCAAAGGAGTGCTTCTTATCAAGTGCTCTGATGTACAAGTGCCTGAGGCCTTGTTCGCATGGGAAAATTCAGTGGCATTTTTCATACCTCTCCACTGCAGAATATAAGTACCCACATGGGAACTCAGCAGGGGTATAATTATTTTGCTCTAGAAAAGTCCTACGTACCTGCATATAATTTCTTCCCAGAAACTTAGCTATGGCACAGGCAATGCAACACACCAGAGAAAATGCACTTGGGGACATCAGAAAGGACAGCTTTGTACAAAAGCAACTCTTCACTCCTGTGCCAATACATTTCTCTATATGAGATTGTTTTTTTCACACAGAGCACTCTGTCCCTAATTTAAAAAAAATCATTCTACAGAGAAGATAGAACAAGCACCATACACTTTCTTATCCACACCCACCTACCCACTATTTTAATTATTGGTATTAGTTTTGCTGCACTTACTCACACTTTTCTTCCATAAATGCATCCTCTGTCTGAGCACCGCACTCAGACAGATGCTCTCTGAGCAGTGACTACAGTTCTTGGTAAGCAAACAATGTGCTGAATGCTGATGGAGAGGGCTAGCGCTAGCTCAGGAAAATGAGCAAGAACGGAATCCAGGTAATGTAAAACAATTTCACACTTGAAAGGACAATAACGGGACGTGCGGCACCTGCAGCCATGAATTTCATTTGCATAGGAGAAAAACAATCTCTGTGCTGTAAATGTAATACAATGGGTGGGAGGGACGAAAGAGTGAGAGGGAGAAAGAAAACACGGGCTGCCTCGAATACAGCATCCCTTAGCAGTGGCTGGGATGTGGCCTTTGCAGTTCTGCCTTTTGTGTCTACTCTGCCCTTTGCAGTTCTCGCTGAGTGACCCGAAGCAGGTGGTATAACTCGGAGAGAGATTTCAGAGTCCTCTGGTGCCCGGCAGCGTCCACGTGCCCCGGCTCGGCACACTCCTGCACAGCCTTCTGCAGCTGCAGCTGCAGGGGGAGGGAAACCAACGGTCCTCTGAGGTTTGGAGAAAACCAATGACGGAATATTTTGTCACAAATTACCTGAGGAAAGGGAAAAGAGCAGACTGTTGTCTTTCAGGAGCTAAAGCTAATGCCCTGCTGCTTCTCTAGGACTGTAGCAAAATGTCATCTGAATCCAAAATGCCTCCAGCCATTCAAAGACAAAGGTGTAGAAAAGGAGCATCCGCAAAGGCTACGCTCTAGCTGAGGAATCCCCCTTCTTCTCAGACTGCTCTTGCACTTCTGCGTAACAAGAGGTGAGGGTGAGGGGGTGCGAGACGCGGGCAAAAGGCCACCAAGCAACACTCCCCCAGCCCCTCTGCTGCGCTGGTGCCTCCCACCAGCACGAAGTGGGTGAGCACTAAGACACCTCGTCCCAGGGCCAGGAAGCCCCTGGACACCTCTTTCCACAACATGCGCCTCCTACGTCTGTCTGTGGAGTGGAGAATCGCAGCCATAGCCCCTCCAATGCTTACGTGTGGACAGCCTGACTTTACCATTAGCGGAGACAGTAACGCTAATCCCCTGCCCCTACTTCCTCCACTCTCCTATGTGAGGCATCAGGCTAACAGCTACACAAAACCATGGCAAATAAACACTAGGGAATATAAAGATCTGTTTGGGTGGCCCAAGATGGGGTTTCCGAACAGGACTGGCCACCTTTAAAAACCTGACTGTCTTCATCTCACAGTCTCCTACTACATACCATGCATTTTATAGTCAATGCGATTTTAAAAGAAATGGATGCATAAAGCAGCTGTGTCTACTCACTTGCAAGTTGTTATTGGCTCTCTGTGCTCCACATTTTCTGATTTTCAGATTGCATTTTGAAAAGCAATCAAAAAAATTACAATCTTCGTCTCCTGTGCAGTTCTGTTCGAGGATGTCCCTCATTTTGGGTTCAAAAAAGGCCATATCCACATCAATGGCCACCACCTGTGGATCAAAACAAGCATCAGATCTGGCATGGCACAGCTCAGATAGGGCTCAGATAGGGCTGAGCAAGTGTTCTTTGCTGCTTGCTTTTGGAAATACTGTGCTGAGAGCATCTGCCAGTGGAGAACTGGGATCACAATGAAAGGGCTTTATTTCACGTAACTGAGCTGCACTAGTCTTATAAATGCCACTTTTTAAACAAAAAACAGCCAATGCTTACGACACCAGGAAAAGGAAAATTATTTGTGCACAGTATGTGTCCCTGGGGTCAACTGGATTGATTTGCCTTAAACTGGGACTATCCAACTTGAAGATCGATTTACTTCTTGTTGCACCTTATGCAGCTGGCAACGCAACCTTTTCATTATATGATGATGCAAAATTCCCCACAGGCCAGACGGTCATTTCACAATCCACCATTCTGACTAAACCCCTGACTTTATCATTGTGGAGAGGAGCAGTGGGATGTGCAGAAGTACCGGCACCTGCTACAGCTCCTCCGAACCTGCCATTGCATTTGGTGGGTTTGAATCTGCTCAGCTGTAGAGAGATCCTTGATGCTGTCGAAAGTCAAGACTGTCTCTGCCCAGTCCTGTTTTCTATGGTTTGACTCATTTATTGTGCATGGTTCTTGTCCTGCTTGTCCAGAAATATGGTACTTAACAGAGTCCAGCCAGCAGCTGGTCTCAGCAGAAAAAGCGAGGACTGAAGGGAGCAATCAGTTTTCTTGCCCTGACACAAGGCTTGCAAAATAGTGAATATGCAGCACAAAGAAGTCTGCAGAGCTGCTGCCTGTGCTAGGTTTGAAACCATTCTGGGAGTGAAGGGCTGTAGTCTCAGTTTCTGCCACTGTCACTCCACCCATGAATATTTCGCTTAAAAAAAAATCACAGCAATAAACAGGGAAAGAAAGGAAGCCAGTAATGGGATGGCAGCTGCTTGACATGAGACAAACTGTGGGTGACCACAGTGAACGCAGCCTGCCTTCAGGGCCATGGATGCAGCAACCAGCGTGCGTTCAGAGCTGTGCTTAACACTTGACAGTCAGGGTCGGGGACTCTCCCTTGCAGCAGCTGACACACATTTTCATGGAGGGAAACGTCTGGGACCTGGGCAAAGCGGAGTTACTTGGGCTGAAATGATAGTCTCATTTTTAAGATTCAGCCTCCCAAATAACAGGGGAAGCTGAACTGTGTGGCTGGAGCAGCAGCTGGATCAACCCCAGGAACTAAAGATGTCTGGTCTGGTAGAAGGCCAAGTAAACCTTCCACAGGCAAAAGAAAGAACAAGGTCTAATCTCCATTTATTCTACCTCTTTTTCCCCAGGGAAAATCTTAAAGAGATGAGGCATAGCTTAAAGTCTCAAGTATTTTTAAGCTTCTTGGAGCGCTTGATAATGATGACGTAACCTAAGGAATTTAACACGTTTGGACAGGCAAATTTGTTTTCTTTTCTTCTTTACTTCTTAAGCTTTCTGCAGTTTTGCCGTTCACTTCTCTGGAGGAGAGACAGGAAAAGCAGTGCAGGGTTTCCCCAGTCCTAGAGTCACTGCATCAGCAGCCTGGTGGGGTCTCTGCCAGCACTAAGCACCTTCAACAAGCTGAGCAATTGCTCCGCTAGGAAAAAAAGCCCTGGCTCCCAAATGTGGGGCTGCCAAAGGGTTCAGTGGTTTCACTGAAGTTCATCTGTTACAAAAATGTGTGTGCATCCAGCCAGACCCTGCAAAGATAGATCTGGGTGACACTCTACCTATAAACAGCTACATTTTGGTGGCGTGTGTTATGATTGTAATTGATGATGAAGGTACCTAAGGAAATGCGGGAAGTGTCCTTGGCTCCTGACCTGATTTAAAGCCATGTTTAAGGTGCTGTAATCTTTCTAGTTCTCTCTGAAGTGCTGGTAAAATAGCAAGCTCTCCTGGAGCACTGTATATTCACCCAGACCTCCTTCCAACTCTGCCCCTTATGTAGCTCTATGGCAGCTTAAAATTCCCCTGGATGATCTACTAGGCAGTGATCTCTCCCCTCCGTGCTGCAGGAACAGCACGTGAAGGCTGGAGCAAGGACCGGAGGCTTATCCCCACCATTTGAAAATAATACTCAAAGTAAAACTATTGCACTCTAGGCACATTTCGTCGAGCATTAGCAGTCTCATTGCTGGGATGAGGGTAGCAGTACTATTATGGGTGTTTATTATTATCCTATACAGAGCACAAGAAAGAAGCAAGTGAAAAATTTGCTTAAAACAAACATGAAGGACAAAAAAAGAGGCTGCCTTGCTGTGTCCCTGTTCTGGAACTGGTTGATAAAACCACCTAGAGTTTCTGCTTCTCACTCTCCTTCCTTCTTTGCTGATCAGAAGGAGATCTGATCACTCTGTTCGCCCCCCCCGCAGCTTTCTGTCTGTGTGCATCTCTCTCTGCGCCCACTGGGGTGAAAACAGCTGATACCAACAGGCTGCAAGTAACGTACAGCTGGGAGAGCTGTGAGTGAGCAGCAGCTCATTTTTTGTTTTTTAACTAATTCTCCTAGAAAATACTAAACTAGAGCACTTTCCTATACCAGAAGGTGACTGCTGTCTCTTTGGGCCCCAGGAGTCACGGGAGGATCCTGGAGAAGCAAGCGTCACCAAAAGGACTCGTAAGGGCATCATAGAATCATAGAATTGTTTAGGTTGGAAAAGACCTTCAAGATCATCCAGTCCAACCATTAACCTAACACTACCAATTCCACCACTAAACAAATTAAGGGTAGAGTAATAATTTCATGTTTCCTGGCTTGGTGGCTGGATTATTTTTTAATGAAAGTAAAAACTAGGAATCATTAAGGTTGTAAGGGATCTCTAAGATCATCAGTCCAACCATCAACCCAACACCACCATGCCCACTAAACCATGTCCCAGAGTGCCACATCTACAGGTTTTTTGAACACAAAGACACATCCATTTTCCCTAAATGAAATCTCTTTTCCTCTAAGCAGCTGGTAAAACAGATGCTCTGGTTTGTGCTCAGCCACAGGCAGTCACAGCCCTGCGTAACTAAGAAAGATGGGCAAAGTCTGCCTTGAGGAATCCCTGCTGTACCTCACTTTGCCTAAACACTGGTATGCTTTTTTAGTTTCTTACAGTAAGTCCTCACCCATTCCCTGTTCAGCTGCTGTACGGCACCTGAATAAACAATGGGAGGGAAGGGAAGGGTGAAGGGGAAGCACTCTAATTGCTCTTAATGGCTATATGTTTAGGCAATGTTTGTCTAGTACTCTGAAGATGCAAGTGTTATATTAACACTCAGTGAGTACTGAAAATAGCCTTCAAGTCCCTGAAAATGCTTTATGTTCACTCAGAGTGCAGCAGCTTCACTGATGTCACTGCAAACTGTGAGTCTGGTTCTAACACTTACTTATTGCACAGTGCCTCCAGTCCGTACACACAATTCCCACCGAAACCAGTGGAATTTCTGTCTGCAGAATGAATGCAAGATACATTCAGCAATGTGGTGCTGAGCCACATCACTACTTAGAAAACATGCATAGCTATTCAGGTCTGAGTTACAGCTGCACAATGAAAACTCCAAGAGTAACAGTACCAGGGAGTTTCATGTCGCTGTCCTTGGATCATTTCCAGACCAGATAAGCTGAACACTAAAGCACGAAGATGTGTGTGTTCGTATGTGGGGAATTCCCCTTGTGCCAGGTCAGAGAATTCAGCCGTAGCTTTCAAATTCAAACCGTTTTTCCTTTCAGCATCACTACCAGAAATAGTTGCCGTGACTCAATTTACAGGGTCATTTACGGCTTTTGAGATCTCCTTGCCTTCACAAGGTATCTGCCGCCACATCCAAGGGACCCTGTCAGTGCCGGTGCCTTTGAGGAGGTGAAACAAATCAGAACTGAGCAAACAGTTCTTGAAACAAGCAGCAGGATTGCTACACATACTACAAAGAGGAAAAGCAGTAGAGAAGCTCCCCTGTCACTTGTAAATGCATTGTTTTTTGCAAAAACTTGGCCAAAAGCTGTATGAGGAGGGAAGTGTCATTTTTACACAGCCACTTTCAGAGTAGAATTTGACCTCAAACTGCTGCAACACAACCCCAAAGACTCAGCTTACCGTGAGATCATGCCTGATAGCGAAGTTTTCTGGTTTGATGTCACACAGGTGAAGTCTGTGAGAGAAATCATTATCGAAATGCTGCACCATGTCCAGAAAGCTGAGTGCAATGTCAACGACAGCTCTCACCCTGCTTCTGTGGCCAGCAAGGGAGGGACCGACCACGTTTTCCAAGGGAAAAAGAGTTTTGTGCCAGGCGTGTCCAGCTGTGAGATACTCCACAGCATAAAAGTGTCCACAAGAGCCAATAATTCGTAGCACGTGTTTGCTGAGGTCCTGCAGCAAACTGAAGTAGATATATTCTTCCTGCTGGAGCAAGGACCACATGCTGGCCACCTGTGCTTTCCAACGTGGTCCCTTCTTCTTTGTCCACAGGGGCCCCATGGTATTGTTAGAGAGTTCTAGCCCCAGGACATTTTTGACCTCCAAGGCTACCATCAGCAGAAGCTCTGTTTCAGGAATATTCTGTGTTTCCACCTCCTCTAGCATACTGAGATGCTGGTAGCTGGAGAAGATTTCCTTTTTGGATTTCAGGATGATGGGCTGGCCTCTCCAGTCAGCCTGGATGACCTTCTTACCTCTGTCATAGTAAAGGCAGTGTTTGTACACCAGCTTCTGTGCCACACACAGGTCTTCACAGAGGTCACCAGTCAGGGCTCCGCTGCTGTAGTCAAGACACTGGAGTGAAAGAGCAGAATAGTCACACCAGGACCATACAGCCATGGACCACTTAGAAGAAAGGCAAAGAATCAGCAATATTCCTAAGCTCAAGAGTCTTGCAGCAGTCGTGGTACTGCAAGCGCACACCTTCTACAACTGTCAGGTTATTCAGTGGTTTTTCAGAAGTCTCTAGAGACCTTTTACTAGGGGGAATCTTGCTTCAAAACAGGGATTCTTGGGATGGTAAAGGACAGGCTTTTTTGGGGCAAGGAAATGGACTAGATGACCTGTTACGCTTCAGTTCTTGCCACATATGAATTCAGTGAGACAAGCTTTGAACACGCTTGGCTGCGCTGTGTGAGATTCTGGTCTGTAACACTTTAAGGAGGTAACTTCCAGTGTAATTCAGGACTTCTCTGGAAGATTCAGGCCAGCATAACTTAGACATCCCCACTTAAACTACAGGAAAATCCATAGCTAGCTGGATTGCTGGGACCTTCTGCAGCCCTGTGTCTTTCAACCTTGCACTCAACGTGCCCTGAGTGAAGCTGTAAGAACCTCCTTCTGCACTACCAGGAAACCCAGAGGTTGCGCTCAATGCCTCTTGGACCAAGAACTTTCAGAATTTTTAAACATGTAGATGCTGTACAACAAAATTACTTTTCCAGTTTTTATACGTACTTATCAGAAGTGACATTCTAATATGAATTAGATACTTTTTTTTTTTTAAATGGAAAAAAATTGGCCCATGGAAACATGGGAACTTCTGCATGATAGTTAAGTGGTCACTGCAAATTCGTACAAGAACTGCAAGGATTCCTTCACTAGTCCTTCCTTCAACCCATAATTGTTTCCATACCATCATTTCCAAAAGTGTAGGCAGTCGATATATTCCTGTGGGCATTCAGAAGTGCAGCTGCAGGGACTGCTTTGGGTGAATCAGTAGATGGGATGATCAGAGGTCTCTGGCAAAAGGGGAATAGACTCTGGTGGTGTAGGAAGCCAAACATCTGGGAGGCAGCTTGACAGTGTCGGCCTCCTTCATTGCTTTCTGGCATTTGAACCTTCATTTAAACAAGTTGGCAGCTCCCACTGCATGTGGAGTACTTGCAACGGCTGCCTGACCCCCACCTCATTTGTGACTTGCTGTTACATACACAAGAAACATAATCATAAAATTCAAGTGATGTATTTTCTTAGGACAGACTCTGAGATGTGCACCAGAGGAATAGATTCTGATGCCAGGCAACATTCAGCGTCCAACCTTAAACAACACACTGGGCAATGGGTGGAGGATGAAGTCCAAAATCCAGGAATGGTGATAAATTGACTAAAACAGCTCACTGAGGGCAGTTCAGACAGGCATAAAATTGATTTATACTCTGATGTTCTGACAGCCCAAATGAGAACATTCAATGCCAGCAAGGAGAGCCAGGTAGGAAAACTCTAGCATGAATGTCCTGACCCTGAGTTCAGGGTGATGTACCTGTGTGAAACACGCACATCTGCATCCACATCCACATCAGGATGGTCGAGCAGACTTACTGGGCTGTCCACAGACTTCAGAGCAGGCAGATCAATGTTCTTGCTTTTGAAAATCCACTCCTATGAACATAATACAAATTTATCTTCCCTTTTTAAGTAGGAAATGTAATTTTCTCAATGGAAGTAGTTTAGCAGTTCTTACCATCTGGAAGTCTAAGCAATTTTAGAAAGAAGATTACAAACAGAAGGGATTTCGGGGTTTTCTTTGGCGCGTAAGTATAATCGCATTAAAAATCATTGCTCTCCTATTGAGAAGACCACAACCTAACTCTTCTTCTGCTACAGTAAGAGAATACAGGGCTTAGTCCTGTAATTGCGTCCACATGGGTGAACACTTGCCCCTGTGGACAATTTTGCTGTGGTCCATCAAGTTCACTCTTAGAGGGTCCGTATGCATGGACCTCTTGCATCTAGAAGAACACATGCCCAGAAGACCTGCAGTCAAACATGTGAACATGCAGCTTATTTTCTTGTGCTGCCATCACGTCATTCTTACTGGCATTAATGAGAAAAAAGTAGTTGTGGAAAAAATAGTCTCACATTTCCCAGACACAGGAGATGAGTAATTTTTGAACCTGGCTGCTGTTTAGGACTTGTCCGCTGCTCCAGTTGAACGAAAAATCTGTGATTATTAACCTAGTACCTCACAAACAGACTCTGAATCTGATTTTTCTTACACTGAACTTGCGCAGAGTTTTGCAAATGAGGATCTGTGAAACAGGACTTGACCAAGCAAAAATGCTTCTTCAAATAAGCAGTCAAGAAGTTTGAACAATTTTCAAGTTGTCTCTCTCTACTCACAGAATGTAGTCAGTTGTGAGTCACTCAATGGCTTTAAAAATCTCCTCAGTTTCCTGTTAATTATAACCTAGGAGGTCAGCAAAGACTGACTGCACCTTCATGTCCTCACTACTCTCCCCAGCTTAGCTCACCAGCCCTCCCACTATAATCCTTTTTTTTTCAGCCTCCGGATGATTTTTGTGGTTTTATTTCCTCCCTGTTTCTTCTCTCCATTTTTCCCTCCGCCAGCCTTAGAAGCACAGAGGTGAGAACTGAATGCTGTTGTCCAGTGCTCCAAAGACAGCCAACAGCCCTTCCCTAATCTCCTTTTTGGAGACATTCAGAGATCATATCAGCCTTTTAGGCACGGACTGCCCTGGTAGTTCATGCTGAAGCAATTATTTGACCCCTACATCCTTTCCCAAGTCATGCAGTTTTACAAGACAGTCTTCCATCCTATTGGCGTAGCTTGTACTCTTGTGCTCCCCAGTGTAGTAGTTTGCATTTTACTGTATTAAAACACATTTTGGTGGACTGAAAACATTTAACCAGGTGATTCAGATTACCCTGCAATGAAAAAATGGTCTGTTTATTATTTACCAACCCAGGAACCTTTGCACTAACCGCAAACTTTACCATACAAGAATTTATATCATCACGATGACTGCTGATAAAAAGAAGAATCAAATCCCCAAAGAAATCTTCCAGAAATGGTCCTCCACACTGCCATCCCTGTCTTAATGACTGCATTTTTGAGATCTGTCAATGAGACAGTTTTAAATCTATCTAATGAGTGCCCTTTGAATGCCACTAAGTGCCAGATTTTTTAAACTAAAATAGGAAAGTGATACTAAGCCAAAAGCCTTATCGAAAAGCAGCTATACTACACAAAAATGCAAACACAAGCACGGTTTGGACTCGCTCGTCTGTTTCTGTTTAAAATCGGCTACATCATTTTTAATATCCTTAGTGCACTTTTAAAGATAAGTTAAAAAAGCTGGGTTTAAATTTATGTAAAAGTTTAAATTAATGTAAACCCCACTAAGGTTTTATATAAATTTAAGTAACTTACTGTACCACCATCACTTTTGTGTAGATCAGGCCTGAGACTGAGTGCTGCCTTGTTATCAAGTACTTCTGCCATGTAAAATACTGAGCAAGGTTTGGAAGGCATCAAAATTAATTAATTTCTCCAGAGAAAAGAGAACTTGATCGCTATGATTTAGTGTGTTCAGTGTGAATGAAGATGAGACCGGTGTTAGGAAAGAGCAAGGGGTCTTTTGGAGAATTAAAGTTGGTCTCTGCAAAATGCCCAGTGCTACTTCAGCCTTCCCGGTACAGTACACATCTGCACAGATGTACATTTTACTCAGAAGAAGGAAAAAAACCTTCAGAAATACCACTTGCAAGGGTATACAACCATGCAATTTTCACCTACTTGCTTAAGAAGCTCAACTTCTTGTCTCCTACTGAAAATATGACAGATGACTACTAAAATAGTTTTTCTTGGAAGTCGAATTTTGCTTAATAAAAGGCATGAGACTCAAGTTATCAGATTATTTGTTTCGTAGATCAATTGCACTTTCTATACCTGCGAAATTCACGCCATGCTCAGATGTATAAAGACTTATTTCGGGGCTGATGAAGATAAGCTCATTTCCTAATTGTTCCACTAGAAGGACAATCCCTTTCTAACATCATCTAGGAAAACTCTCGCGGACAAACCTTAATGATACTGACTGAAGACTCACCTACGGAAACAGATGAGCACAGCAATCTCAGCTACTCTTCCTCTGGAAGGAGGGTCTGACACTGAGCTATCGCCCAGCGATAGAGACAACTTTCCAAGCTTGCGCCTGAAATCTGATCCCTGCCTGGGCTTTTGAAGTCATGCCTGATGCTCTCCAAACTGAGGAACGGCAACAAGTCTCTGTCCATCTGCTTACTGGCGAGTGTGATGGCAAGGGCCTGGACCTTCCCGAGCCCCGCGGCTCCTTGCAGCTCCACGCCTCCGTGCTCTTCCCAGCCACGCAAGGAGTGGGCAGGATTCATTCCTTCAGCCGCAATCCTGAGCTCAGCTGTACGTCAAGCTGACTGCTGGGGTAAAGAAATTGAATCTCACTGCCATTAAAAACACGCTGTCAGGACCGCTGCCTATAGTTCCTGTTCCGTTATTATACAGAATTTAGGGAAAATCTATGATCAGTTTTTGCTTGCTGCAGTAATAGATTATTTAATTTCCATTAGGATTCCTCCCTTCCCACCTAACCATCGGCACTACAAATACCTTAATTAAGAAACAAAATTAAACTCAAAGCGTTAACCCACGCTGCTCCTCTTCTCGAAGTGTTTCCTACACAATTCTAAATCTGTTTCTTTTCCTCTTCTTTTTTTTTTTTTTTTTTAGGGAGATTTTATTGAATATTCCCAAATCCTTTCTTGAATTTTGAATAGCTGCATCTTAAATGCCAGCCCCTGCCAGATGTAAAGGAGGCGTCACAAGCTGTGTGGCATTTCTGAAAGACGACTTTTGCACAAACACCCTTTCGGCTAAATAATAATAATAAAAAAA